GCGGCTAGATTCGGCGAATCGCTCCAGGCTGTTCGAGTTTGCTGCTCCAACTTTAATTGCCGTCGCTTCCCACTCGTCCTTTCGTTCTCCACCTTTTCCCTTCCCCTCTTCTCCTTTCCTCCTCCCCCCATCACCAATATTAATATTATATATATATATATATAACATTATATATGATAATTATATTATAATAATTATATATATATATATTATATAATATTTCGAATGGATCGAGGGAGGGAGGAGAGGAAGGAGGAAATCGAGAGCATGCAACGCAACGCAAAGTTGATTTCGTTCATCCGATCGTTCCGCGTGGATTCGTAACGCGACGCCTCGTCCCCGATTAATACCGGAAGTCTGGCAACTCCCCGTATCTCTCTCGCTCCACGAGCCACCGGTTCACCATCAACCATCGATGAACCGGACTATTTTCGCCGGTAGTCGCTGCCAGCCAGCCATCCACCAGGCTGGAAGAGTGGAGAGAGAGAGAGAGAGAGAGTTGGCCGGAGTGGTGTTTCCCCGGGGTAAGCACGAGCATATACTTGCCCGGGGGCTTATTCAGACAAATCGGCGATTGCTGCGGGAGAGGCGAGCGAGAAACGGGTATAGGTGCTCGCCACACCGGCGGAGCATCGCTGCTCCCCTCGCCCGCCCGCGCCACCTTCCTGCGAGAACGAAGACAGGACGGGGGAGGGGAGGGTTTAGCCCGAAATCCGCGATGGAGACGAAAAGGGAAGGAGACGAGAAAGATGAACGGATATAGATGCGGGAGGCGAGCGAGTTTTGGGAGAGAGGAGGGGGAAGCGAGATCGCGGAGGTTAGAGCGAAGAAGCGTCTGAGGAAGGGGGAGAGAGAGAGAGAGAGAGAGAGAGAAGAATGATTGTTTCCATGATTACAATGGAACGGAAGAGGAAAAGGGATGGAGGGAGCTGGCCTGGGAAAAGGGTATGGGGAGCAATCTCTTAGCGCTAACGTAGATTCGTGGGCCGGGGTCTGCTCGAAATATTACACCAAAGGGAGGGGGAGGGGAGAGGAGGTATGGCGAAAGGCCGTGCTTAGCCGTCGTCGTCGTGGTATTCCCCGCACAGGGAATTTCCTGACTTCCGTGGATAATGTGTGTCACCCGTCGAATCGTCGGAGCCGCGAAATTTTCCAAAGAAATCTCATCCGTTTATCTTCCTCGGCCGTGTGATATATAAGACGGAGACGCGTACGTACGTGCGGGCTAACCGTCTATCGATAACCCATCTACCAGCAGTGCCCGGTACCAGCACTGCCGATCTCGTTTCCGATCTCCGCTTCCCGATTATTAGGGATATAGAGCGAGATACAGGCGAAACATCAACAACTCTCGAGACTATTATCGATCGAATCGCGATATAATTTCGAAAGGGGAGAAATTCTTTCATTAAGGCGAACGTTTCTCCTTCGAGAAGGGATACTCGGTGGCCAGGATATTCTATGTTAGGTGTGCGAACAAGTTCCTTCCTTTTTTTCTGGGATCGTAACTTTTGACCGAATTCGAATCACTTCCCGTTCGTAGAAGTCATACAAAAGAGCGTTGATCCGTTTTTAACGAACTTTCGTTACGAGTGATTTCTCCAAAAATGTACACAGTATTTAGAAAAATTGTCAGCGTTTATATTTTTTTTTTTTT